CTAAGCGAGAGTTTTGTGTAGAAATGCTCTGTTTACGGGAAGTTATTTTGCATTCGCAAGCGTCAACAAAAGCCGGCATTTTCACAGTTTGATTATCATGTCGATCTGAGATAAAAGCTTTGAAAATTCAATTGAAAACATTTTAAACCACACGTATTTCTATAGAATATATGTTAGTGGTATTAACATTGAACTTCTTTCTGTTTAAACCCAAATTAGTACTTGTTTTGCGTTTAACAAGGCTGTCAAGCTCGCGACGTTTGGCAGGCATGACTGCAGATTTAGCATGTCAAATCATAGGCAGCCCAGCAAAATGTGTAAAAATGCATTAAACGCTTAAAAATACGTATAAAGTTCGTCTCAATTTGCTATCAAGCGATTTATTTGTGTAGCTCATTATACATGCAGATTCCGATGTTTACGTCATTGTATTTTCATATAGTATATTATCCTAAGGCGGGCAACTCTTTTACAAAATACATTTACACACACTAATACGTTCGCTTCAAACAACAACAAAAACCGCTACTTTCTGAAAAAAACTAGATACAAAACACCTTGGATATTTTTTCTAACTTTATTGAAACTTTTTAGAGTTGAAAAAAGTTTAGAAGTATTTAAATTTCATGGATGAAAAGTGGGTTTTTATCGAAATTATTTTGTCGATAGGCGGGATGCAAAATGCACGACAAACGTCATCATCGGAAAAATCATCGGCTTATTGCTTATTGGCTGTTGAAAAATCGGCAAATTCCGAAGAAAGTACATTGACTGAAGTATATTATATTCGGAATTTGCCGATTTTTCAACAGCCAATAAGCAATAAGCCGATGATTTTTCCGATGATGACGTTTGTCGTGCATTTTGCATCCCGCCTATCGACAAAATAATTTCGATAAACACCCACTTTTTATCCATGAAATTTAAATACTTCTAAACTTTTTTCAACTCTAAAAAGTTTGAATAAAGTTAGAAAAAATATCCAAGGTGTTTTGTATGTAGTTTGTTTTCAGAAAGTAGCGGTTTTTGTTGTTGTTTGAAGCGAGCGTATTAGTGTGTGTAAATGTTTTTGTAAAAGAGTTGCTAGCCTGAGCCGACGAATAACGACACTCAGGCTAAAGAGTTGCCCGCCTTAGGATAATATACTATATGAAAATACAATGACGTAAACATCGGAATCTGCATGTATAATGAGCTACACAAATAAATCGCTTGATAGAAAATTGTGACGAACTTTATACGTATTTTTAAGCGTTTAATGCATTTTTACACATTTTGCTGG